AGAGGTTTATACAAACACATCTGTTCCAGACCCTATCGAGCCATACTACACTTCTTGGAGTCACGCCGACTACCGATAGCTATCGCAGAGTCAACCTGGTGATAAATTGAGTCAGGCTGCTAGACTAACCAAGTATCGTTCGCTCATTTTTACTTGCCGCTTTGCAATGTATGTCGGATATTTAATACAGCTAACAAGATTAGGAATTAGGAAATGGAGTAATGATTAGAAGAACAATACGTATTCTCGGAGAGATCTAGTCTACGTTAATGTTCATAGACAGAGTGCACAACTGTATGAGACTGGTGATTCAGGGATTCGCTACCAGAGATTCCATACTCGTATCAGTGAGATTATGTAACCACTTTCATCGAGCAAGGCTTGCGCCAATAAGACAGCGTCATTAGGACTCTTAGCAAGAGCATTTATGGTGTCGGAATATTGACTTCATGATCAGAAGGAACTGTCTGATTTGATAGATTTTCATGGCCGAGCTATTTAGTATGGGACGCAATGAACCTCGTTCCAAATGTAAGGGACGGTGATGCCGATTCTGTTCAGCGAATCGTGATACACCCCACGAGGTCATGGAATGACACAGCTGCGTATTACACGAGCACTGAAAGGTATCCGATTCTCCAAATCCTAAGCCCGCTTTTTCGGTCAGTTCCTCTGCCAAATCAATTATTGTCGGGGAGTCGTCAGAGCGATCAAGAACACTGATCCATAACGTATGCAATTGACATCGGCTGACGCAGAACCCTCTCCAGCATGACACCTAAATTTCGTCGCACGTCCTGAGTGGTTTTCATCTAAGATAGGTTGTGAAAATCTTTTGATTTGGCCGCAGCTCACTACCTAGTTGCCTAGCCTGAGAAGCAATGACTTCTCGGCCTCTGGAGACCGCTTTCGCTTTAGAGTTCAACTTGGATACCTAATTAGTTGGCACGAGTGTTCGTCGCAAACAATCAAACGGACGGACTGTCAACCTAATACCCCTGCAAGCTGAGTGCTGCAAGCTTGAGTGAAGTCTATAAGTCGTGCCGCCCGAAACTCGAAGGGTCTAGAACTGGGATCATCCGTGTTCATTGCCCATAGGTGAGCGTGGAGCTTTCTGTCCCAATACAATCCAGATACTCATGTCCTTGAACAATTCCTGCATCCTGGCACAAGGTGGCCGATTACTGCAGGATTGACGTTGACGACGTTCTCTAGCACCCTAGGGTCCAGGTTTCAATACCTGTTTAGCTTCCAATTGCGTTTGCGCTACCAACGTGTCGTAGTGCAATCTCCAAACACCGTATGTGGGAAGAGTCGGAAACCCAAGACTTGGAAAGAGCCTGAGACGGCTTTCATGACTTTGTGTATATAATGTCTCACATCGTCTCTATCCAGAACTGCCACACATCTCAATTCCCAGACGCCCGTCTAACGCCACCTATACAAGACAGCAGTGTCAGACAAGAAACTCAACAAGACGTCAACATGGATAAGCTCAAGAATGCGAAAGATAGCATCACCGGCAAGACGTTCGTGTTCTCCCTTCGTACATCATATGCGCCAAATACTAATGTGAATGACAAGTGCCGCCGACCAGCCCGCCCAGAAGCCCACAGATGCGAACAAAGACATCTTCGTCGACTCTGGCAAGTTCACGCCATGCCTATTACGCTCTAAGTACTAACAAATAGAATCAAGAAGTTGATAAATACGCCAATAAGAAGGGCGTTCCCGCTGGAGCCAATCCTGAGATCAACAGCGCCGTCAACGATGAGATCAATAAGTTCTAAGAACGGGCGGGCCTTGTTGGAAACATAGATTTCCCATGGAGCTGGTCCTCCCCACAGTTGAAATAGCATTGGATACTTTGGTCATCCGTAGCCTTCAATTGATCTCTTGCATAATTTTTCATAGACCCATGCCGTGAAATGGACGACTTTGGCATCTATGAAGCGGGAACCAAGATCAGCGAGCCAGAAAGTGACGATCCATGTGACAAGAGTAGCAAGGGCAGTACCTGCCCCGTACTGCCAGTATGAGTCCGAACCGGTGAATTGCAAAAAGTACCTAGCGGAGATGAAACCCAAGCTATGAATTAATTGCATGTGCACCAAGTAGAGCGAAAAGGAAATTCTCCCCAAGTATTGAGCCAAGCGCGTAGTGAATGGTCGTTGCAAGAACTGAGAACTATCCAAGACCAGAATCAGGAAGATGGCCCCGAGGGGTTGCCAAAACCGGTCCGGGTCTCCAAGTTTGTGGTAATGTTCTGGAATCAAGGAGCTGAGATATCCATAGCCGTAGCAATCAGCTGCACCTTGACCCTGCTCCGGCATGCCCAGAACAAATAAAGCGAGGAGTAAAGCCACGACTGAGAGCATTCGGCGTGCTGCACCACTTCTCGATGGTGAATAGCGCAGAAAGCGGCGTGGCGGGTCGTAACAGTCGTCATTGAGTGATCCTCGCGAGCCTGGTGATCGTTGAGCGAGGATGCTCCTGTCTGCTACAAGCATACCCCCAACGAAAAGAAGCTCGCCCCAGTGAAGATACCACAATGAATACGCCGCAACACATAGTGTAATGAGAATGCGAGAGCGATTTGTGAACCGCGAGAGAGCGAGCAACATTGCGAAGATCACAAGAGAACTCCTAAACTCGATTGGGAGGGTCCACAGAGAGTCGCTATAACGCCAACTGCCACCGTCCGGAAAATAGAAATCTGATACGGTGAGAATGGCGTTTTTGTAGTCGGAAAGCTGCTCCCAAATAGTGTCGAAGCGTGGGGGGTTCGTACCGCTGACGGCGGCACCCGGCATGCCATCTGCGGGAGTAAATCCTCCCCAGAACGCAATGAAGGGCGCTGGCAAACATATGATCAGGGCTGGTATATAAAGTCGGGGATGGCGGCGAAAGGTCGACGAGGCTAGCGCCGCGTACGTCTTTCCATATTGGTTTTTTCGGATCAGACTCAGGGGCTTCAAGCTAAGGGCATATCCCGAAATGACAAAGAATGTCATGACGTTAGGTCGGCCTGAAATGATCAGTCGGATGATGGGGAGCTGGATCAGATGATCATTCGAGTCTTTCCAGCCATTGTAGATGCCCCATGAGAAGTAGATCAAGGTCGTGTGGTGCAGCACCACGAAGAAGGCAGCAACGCCACGGAGGCCATCTTTCGTCCGTCAGCAAGTGACACGAATCAGTGTAGATATAGGGAATTTCTCTACCTAGCCAAGAGGTTGGACGCAGGGGTTTTGGCTCTAGTCGACGATCTGTTTGTTGGAGAAAGCTTGGTAACAAGACCTTGAGTTTTCTCAGCAGTCGAAGAGCGGTGTTCCTTCTAAAGGTGTATTTTTCCAAAGGACTCGGTGGAATATCGAAGCTTTCGGCGTCAGAGCTGGAGCGGTCTGTTTCATCTCCCTTTTCTAGTAAATCGGGTTCGCCTTTGAGCAGGTAGTATTTTGCGAAGTTGTCGATCCTCCAAAGTTGCAAATATCTGAGTAAATGGTACATCTTGGTGGCAGAACTCGTTCCGTGACCATTGAGCGAGATTCGGAGATTCCTTGCTATGGGGATATGTAGGTAGAGTGCTCAAGAAAGGGGCGACCGTATTCTTTTGGTAGATATTGCAGCGTGTCGTCGCCGTGTTGGAATCTACCCTGTCGCCCACGAATTTGTCTCACCTGGCTGTTACAGGGTATGGCGATATCCCAGATATAATAAAACAAAAAGACAAATCACCTCCAACCTTTGTGGTACAAGGTGGAATCCGAAAACCACCACAGCATGCTGTCACAATCGTAGCATATAAGATGGGTTCCCTTGACTGGTAGGAGATAGATTATGTTGTATCCGATCATCCGTAAGCCCGTGTCGACGTTGGCGTCTTTATGTTTAATTTGTAGCCCCTACCGAATGATTATCATCGGACGTCCGATTAACATTGCCGTTGAAGAAGTTCAAAATCTCTCCCCTAGCTGCTGACGTCTTTCCTAAAAATATCGTCGACTGTCAGTGCGTGGCTCTACTCCAAAGGGCTTCCCGCTCAGATGCACATGACAGACATTGCTGTGACACCAACGGTGGCATTTGTCTTTGATTAATTAAATTCCAGCTGACAAGTACATCTGAGTGCGGCCCATTTCATTCGCGGCTCGCAATCTGTGCAACGTAAGATGTCAACGCGTCGGTCAGAGCGTTACCAGTGGCAAAAACCGTTGCGCAACGTTATTTGATGGGATTTCTTGAGCGGATCACAACATCCCGCGTATTACAAACATATCTCGCTGCATCTTGCCATACCTTAACTCGTGAAGCCGGCATAAACATTCCAATATGCCTTGGTGATATCAGCTCACGATGCTATTGCCACCGAGCTCATTGCAGAGGAGCATGCGCATAGCGAGAGATGGTCTAAGTGGAAGTGCCTGGCACTATGCCATCCAACTTGTCGTACCATCTTAGACACGTGGTAAAGGAATGAAAGCCCCTTGCTTCAGGCACCGTACGACAATACACGGACGAAGCGATGTCAACCCAAAATTACTCGGTATATCTGGAACCTGGTGACTAGGACTCACCAATGCCTCCAGCGAGATGCTAACACTGATGTGCGCTTGCTAGCGAAGGGCGCGACTGGCAGTGGCACCTATGACACACATCGTATTTCCATCCTTTGCAAGCGGCCATTCGCACGATAGCCGGGTGGGCAGTACCGTCAATCGAGGTAGCAAAGGGGATTTGAACATACAAGTCTATTCGTGCCTCGTTGTTCCTACCGTGCCTCCAACACGACTTGGATGCTTGCAGGTGACTTACCTTAGGCAATCAGCTCATGTCACACGTCATTCCATTCAATGCAAGGCAAGCACACATACAGCAACTACCCGCTGGCCCGCGCGACTGCCTCATGATTCAAACAGTAGGTAGCTTGCGTCCAATAAGAGCTTAGCACCTGAATGGACCTCATAGTCAGCAATAGTGCAGCTGTTTTTCAACAAGAAACCATCATCGTCTAGTGGTTTAGGATACCAGGTTTTCATTCTGGGGGCCGGGGTTCGATCCCCCGTGATGGTGCTTACTTTTTTTCTTTTCTTTTTGCGCCATCTCCATACTGCATACTGTCACCCTTCTCAACGCTGTCTCTCCTTTTCCTCCTCATATCACACTATTCTGCGATCCAATCTCCAAATTTGCCGAACGGAAGCCATGATGGGTTATTTGCCCGTGTGCCTGTCCCGGTCGTATAGAAGCACAATCACAGCTTAGCAGCCGTCTTCACAACTCCATTAGCACCACCTTCAGGACCAAACATCGCTCGCAGGTCCTTGACAATCTCGTCAGGCCGTTCCCACGCCGCAAAGTGACCTCCTCGATCGTGCTCCTTCGAAAAGATGACGTCCCCCATCGCATGGCTCCAAGACCTTGGCATCACAATGACATCGTGAGGGAACTTGGAAAGACCAAGTTTTACGTCTTGATACTCCAGCAGCTGGTTGAAGGTCGATGCCGGGATACCCCTCGCCTCCCTTTCCTGGCACCTGGCGGTATCATGGCTCTGCTCCGTCTCATAGTAGAGCTGGTGCGCCGCGCGTGGCGTTGCAGTGGAAAACCAATATATGCTGATCCAAGTGCAAACCTCGTCTTCGGTCCAGGGGTACCCGTCAGTCCAGTCGACAAGCTTCTCATAGATCCAAGCGAGTAGGGCCGTTGGCGAGTCGGAAAGGCCGTAACCCAAGGTCTGGGGCTTAGTACTTTGAACTATTTGCAAAACACAATCAGCACTTCCCATGAGAAGGGAAAGCGGAAAATCAAGCATGGAACATACTCTTATGGTACCCATTCCCACTCTTCTGGAACTCTCTTGACCTCTTAAAGCCCTTCTTATCAGCCTCCGAGAACCCAGTGACGAATGCCTGGAACATAGTCCTGAGCGCAACGATCGGGTTCTTCAGCAAACTCGGCCTCGGGAAGAAACTCATGTTCAGATGCTGCGCTTTCACGAATTCGGGTGCATAGTGTCGTCCCATTGCCCTGGTAATCATGTATCCCCACTGCAACAGCCTCAGTCAGTAATGACTTCCCATTGGCGTGTTGGCCGAGGGCTTCGGGAGTCTTGAGAATTGCTCCAGAGAACAAATGGAATAACGTCGAAAATCCATTAGAATGAGTAGAGGGGGAATTACTCACGTCTCCGCCCTGCGTCGCATACTCCCTATACCCCAGCTTCAACATGAGTAAATGCATCGTTTCAGCATGCTGATCAATACTAAATCCCGCTTTAGACGACGCCTGCGAGAATCCGTAACCAGGGAGCGAAGGCACGACAACATGGAACGCAGGCAGCGACGCATCTTCAGGCTCAGTAAGCGGCTTCAGGATCTTCGTCCCCTCTAGGAAACTCCCCGGCCACCCGTGCACGAAGATAAGCGGCACGGCATCGTCCCGCTTGCTCCGCACGTGCAAAAAGTGAATATCGAGCGGCTCGAAACCCGTCGCCTGGATCGAAGTATGGAACTGGGGCAGGGCGTTGAGCGACGCCTCGGCGGCTCTCCAATCGTACTTTTCCGCCCAGTACGTCGCGATGCGCTTGACGGCCTCGAGCGGTGCGCCCATTGTCGTTCCCACATCGCTCAGTTCGCTCGGGAACCGCGTGCGACGGAGACGCTCGCGTAGATCTTCCAGATCTGCATCTGGGATTGAGATGGTGTATGGTTGTATTTCCTCTGCCATTTTGTTTACTTTGCAGAAGGCCTGTTTTTGTAGGGTATCGAGTGTGGGACAGCACAGGAAAGCCGTCCTTTTTTCTTATCTCCTCAGAGCTACGTCTACGTCGACATCAGTCGATATCGTCAATGCATAGGAACTTTGGTAATCATGCACGGGAGCAGCATGGATCAATTCCTTACGGAAACGTTTCCCAAGCCAGCGCTTACATACCTTGTCTTCACCCTCAAAAGTACCGACGGCGTTTAATTCCAGCCTGTATCAATCTCGACAAAACCAAAATTGAAAAGACGAGCGGAACGCGATGAAGAGTTTATCTACGTGCTATGAATCTCGTGTCGGTAGCCCCTCACCCGGTGTGGTATCACGGTTTATGCATACGATTCCGTCATTCTCGTAGCTTGTAGTGACTCGGCATATCAAGCTTCCCGAATCGACCGTTCGCTTCCCGCCAGCTCCGCATCGGCATTAGACTACTACGACCCCGAGTGACATTCCAAGCTCAATTGGCCATCCCACTGGCAGATATGGGCCGAGAATTATGCAACGGGATGCAGTGTGCAGCCGGTGGTCGTGCAACCGAGAACGGGGAGCTCACCGAACTTCCACATGTGAGACGCCATGGTCGCGCTGCAGATGTTGATCCTATCAAAGACAAGTATCTTAAATTCCGTAAATTGAGATCCTACAATGATATGCTAGCAATTGTGCCACGACCATGCCCCTACTTCTAACAAACGCCAAGTCATAAGTCGTTCTGTAAAACATGCATCATGCCATCTTCGCTTTCAAACCTCGTTACTCGGGTACTCTACTTTCGTCGTTGGGCTGAATTCTTCTTTGATGCTTCGGACACTGACGAAGCGACCGAGTAGGTTCATGCTGCCGGCCTTGTCATTCGTACCGCTAGCCCGAGCTCCTCCGAAGGGCTGTTGGCCAACGACAGCACCGGTGCTCTTGCAGTTGATGTAGAAGTTGCCTGCAGCATTGCGTAGCGCTTCTTCCGCAACACGGACAACAGCCCTGTCGCTTGCGAAGACAGCTCCGGTCAGCCCGTACTCGGTTGTGCTATCGACAAGCTTGCAGACATCAAGGAATGCCTGAGAGCCTGCCGCATCGTCGTATACATAGGCGGTCAGGATAGGTCCAAAAAGCTCAGTGCTAATGAGTTTATGTGAAGGGTTGGTGGTTTCATAGATGGTCGGGTGGATGAAATAGCCTTTTGAGCCATCGTATTTGCCACCAACTAAAAGCTTAAGCTCCGAATCGTTCTTAGCATCGTCAATAACTCCCGTTAGCTTCTTGAAGCTGGGTTCGTGAATGACAGGTCCGATGAAGTTCCTAGGATCCCAGGGAGCACCGATTTTTAAGGCATTGGTTTCCTTGATGAGTTTCTCCTTGAATTCGGGCCAAATCGACTTGGGCACGTAGAGACGACTGGTCGCACTGCATTTCTGACCCTGGTACTCAAAGGCGCCGCGAACGGTTTGAATGACTGCATTGTCAATGTCGGCTGAAGAGTGGATCAGATGGAAGTTCTTCCCGCCCGTCTCGCCGACGATACGAGGGTAACTCTGGTATCGGCCCTCTGCGGTCCCCTGGCCAATCTGCCCGTAAAGTTTGCGGAAAATAGCAGTGCTTCCAGTATAGTGGAGTGCGGCAAACTGCCTGTGTGCAAGGACAGTCTTTGTGACCTCCTCGGGATTGCCAGGGACGAACTGGATGACATTCTTTGGCAGACCAGCTTCGAGCAAGATTTGATACAGCAACCAGTTAGAGGCAATCGCTGAATCAGATGGCTTCCAAACGACCACGTTGCCGAGCAGTGCAGGAGCGCCAGGCAAGTTACCTGCAATTGCAGTGAAGTTGAAAGGGCTCACGGCGTAGACGAAGCCTTCAAGGGGCCTGTACTCAACCCGGTTCCACACGCCAGGAGCATTGTGCGCGGGCTGTTGAGCCATCATCTCCTCGGCATATTGAACGTTGAAACGTAGGAAATCACACAGCTCTGCAGCAGCATCGATCTCTGCCTGCCACGCATTCTTACCCTGGCCTACCATGGTAGTAGCCATCACCTCGTATCGGTACTTGTTGGAGATGAGGTCGGCCGCCTTGAGAAATACGGATGCTCTGTCGGCAAAGGGCAGTGCTTCCCAAGCTGGTTTGGCAGCAAGTGCCGCGTCAATAGCTTTCGAGACATCGGAAGGCGATGCGAGAGAGTAGTTGGCTACGGCGGTAGCGTGGTCAGAGGGGTTCTTTTGCGTAGCTGTTTGCGACGTCCTGATCTATAACATGGTTAGAGTGTCTGCAATAGAACAGTCTCGTTCGATATAAATAGCCATACCTCCTCGCCTCCTACTACTATGGGGACTTGTACCACGCCTCTGCTTCGGACTGTGTCGACTGTGGAGAGCAGTCCTTCGCGCTGTGCCGAGTTCTTGGCGTAATGATGCTGATTTACGTGTCAATACCTTGGACTAGTGGAATGCGACACAATGCAGTGTCGTGGTTGGAGACATACATTAGGTTCGTTCAATACTTTAGGGATCTTGAACGAAGCAAGATGTGACATTCTGGCATGACTCGAACTAAGTGCTCTTGTGTGTCTTAGTAGACGCAATTGAGATAGTTGACTCGATGTGCCCCTTGTCGCCGATAGCACGCCGGTAGAGGGCGATTGCAATAAGCTTGTGAGACCGCTGCTCCTCCGTGCCGCCGCCATGGTCAGTGTTGGAGAGAAGCACAAGTGGGAAACGAATCCGAGGTGTGTTGTTGAGTGTCCAAAGAGAAAAAGATAGATCAGCGACCTAGACAGAAGCCTTCTCTGGTAGAGTTTATTAGGTGTCAAGAGAGAAGAGGAGGGTTGGTGGCAAGGTGGAATATGCAGCTCGCCTTCTCGAATCTGGAGCTGGTAGGTAGAACAGAGTTGATTGACTGTTCACAGGATTCACGCAGGTCGAGAAGGAGAAGGAAAACGCAGCTACTTCAATGGCCGAACAAAGGAGCTCGCCGGCTACAATTACGCTACCCGTCGAGCTTCGACTTCGAGGTGACGAGTGGTGAGCTGTGTTCGCTTTGCAGCGGCATAAGAGACACTTGGTTACCTAGTGAATCGGTTAGTGGAGAGTGACTAGTGTAGTGGCCGTTGGAGGGGTCTTTTTGCGGGGGAGCTTTCCAGGAAGCTATCATCGAGTGCCAATTGAGGGAGCTATCTGACCAATCACATCTGCATTCTTGTGCGCGTCGATCCGAATTCGGACTTACAAGCACTCCTGCCATCTTCATGCCGCAGCTCTCCCCCCAATAATGCCTTGACTTGAACCGCCGCCTGCAGCCGCGATGGCATCGTG